GCAGAGTTCTTGTTCATTTCACTGCCTTCTCTTGGGGTGGGGGAGGAGGGCTGCGCGGCGCCGTCTTTGAAGCTGCTCTGATTTGGGCCTACCTTGTCCTGGAAGATTTTTATTCCCAGGTGAATAAAGAGGACTGGCGTGTGGGGGTTAGGGTTTGGTTTTCTTTTTTTTTTTCCCTTGAGTCTATTTTTGGTTATCCTTTCGACATTCGTTCACTCTCCATGTTTCTATTTTAACTATGCAAAACACTGCCGTTTCTTTACAGTACGTTAGCTTTGGGCCTGATTTCTAGTTGGAAATAACATTTTCTCCAAACTTCCCGAGATCACCGACTTCTCGGCGCTTTTTGCATATCTGGTGTGTTCACTGATGCTTCTCGTGATGGTTAGAGAAGAGTGGGCATGCACTCTGAGGTGGTTGGTTGGCTAAAGGGACCTGAAGAGTTCCAGCGGCTTCTGCCTCCTGGACTTCTGGCTTTCTGATGCCTGTCTTTGCAAGTGTGATTCTCTCTCCCGCCCTGTCCCTACCTCCCCCGTATCCTCAAGTTACCCAAGCTCACTGCTAATGGTCAAGATAATTGATTTCCCTTGCTGTCCAGCTGCTGTAATGGTTTCAGAAAAGCCTGACAGCTCACAATGGCGTCCGTACTTATTTTGGGGGGCGGGTGAGACGTTCACCCAGTGAGTACCAAGGACCCACTTTGCTTCCATTAGTTCACATATGGCAAAAACTGAAGTTGTCACCTTGATTCCCTGGGAGATACTGCCTGGCACACAGTTCTCATTCATTTTGTGTATATTTATTAAGTAGCAGCTAGGTCCCAGGCTCTGCCGTAGTGTCTATAATTATCACTGGTGACAAAAAATCACAAGTACTGTTAGGCACATCTTTGTTGCTTGCCTTCTTGATTGGACAGGGAACCCACTCTGGGCGCTTTCTGGGGAATGTGGGAAGCATTGATAAACCTTGATCTGATAGAGCTGGGCGCCAGGAGGGAGGCGCCCAAGAAGTCCTGGTCAAGTGTGGGAACTTGATTAAGAGTCCTTATTCGCCAGGAGTTAGTGGCGCACGCCTTTAATCCCAGCACTCGGGAGGCAGAGGCAGGCGGATCTCTGTGAGTTCAAGGCCAGCCTGGTCTCCAGAGTGAGTGCCAGGATAGGCTCCAAAGCTACACAGAGAAACCCTGTCTCGAAAAACCAAAAAAAAAAAAAAAAAAAAAAAAACAAAGAGTCCTTATTCACAGAAGTAAGACAGGAAGATGGAGATAGCTAAGAGAGGAGCCTAAAGGGTTGAAAAAGGGTTCCGAGCCCTGTTTCCCACTGAGGCCTTTGAACTTTACCCTCTGAGGTGGTAAATAGAACTCAGTGCTCTCCTGGTTTAAGAGGAAACTGGCATCCACACATCCTTGCTAGCTTTTAGGTTAAGCCCGTTATTTCTTCCAATCTTGAGTGTAAGCAGAAAAGCAAAGGCATTGTAGGCTTACCTTTTCATATCACTTTATGTAAATATCACTATTTACAGCAGCTATTATGGGGAATGTTTGTAAAATTTGAAGTAATGGTACTTCCCCAGAAGTAGGTTGGTTTTTAGACAAGGTTTCAAGGCTGATCCTCAGGCCTCCATCTCTGGGGTGCTGATAATTACAGGCCAGCCTACCTGCCTGCACCACCATACTCAGCCTTTCAAATGTTTTTGTTGTTTTCTTTTGAGACATGGTCTCACTATGTCATCCTTCTGGCCTTGAACTCACAGAGATCCCCTTGCCTCTGCCTCCTCCAGTGCTAAGATCAAATGTGTGCGACCAGCCTTTCAAGTAATCTGTTTCCTTCCAGACCTTGCATATTTTATTAGGCATTTTAAGGTTCACAGTGTTAGCCAGAAAATAGTCCTCGATGAAATTATGACCCCCCGCCCCCACTGCTGTCTTAGGAAGGTAAGGTTGGGGAGGCTGGGACTCCTGTAGATAACTTGCATTCAAGGCCCTCCTCTGGATTTTGATTGTGAAAGAAACTCTTTATTATTCAAAATAAGGGGGATTCTTCCTGGGTTGTTGTTGGGGAGTCCACTTGGAGGCTGAGCCTGGGCTGGCCTGCTTGAAAGAAACCTTTCTTCTGGTGCTTGAAATTTTTTTTATATTATTATTATTATTATTATTACTAGTTTTTTGAGACAGGGTTTCTCTGTGTAGGTTTGGACCCTATCCTGGCACTCACTCTGGAGACCAGGCTGGCCTCAAACTCACAGAGATCCACCTGTCTCTGCCTCCCAAGTGCTGGGATTAAAGGCGTGGGCCATCAACGCCTGGCCCTGGTGCTTGAATTTAAATACCTTCTTTTACATTTGTATGCGAATTGTTCTCTGAGAGTCCAACAACCTAATTTTTTTAAAAGATTTTATTTATTTTTATTATGTATACAACAATTCTGCTTCCATGTATATCTGCACACCAGAAGAGGGCACCAGATCTTATAATAACAGATGGTTGTGAGCCACCATGTGGTTGCTGGGAATTGAACTCAGGACCTCTGGAAGAGCAGTCGGTGCTCTTAACCACTGAGCCATCTCTCCAGCCCCGACAACCTAATTTTTTCAGAGCCCTTGCTGGAGGGAGAAGCTGGACTCCCAGCCACTTGACTGGGATGACCCTGGAAGGGTTTGAGAATGGTATTTCCAGAGCCTGGCCATCTCCCTCTCGCTGGCAAGGTTCCGGGTCAGCCTTTATGGTTGCTGAGGGCTGGGTGAGGCACTTGGTCCATGGCTAGTCCTCTGTTCTTGATAGGTCCAAGTTCCAGATTCTGTACCTTGCTCCTAGGACCCTGGCCCGTGTGTTCTCAATCCTGGCAATGGTTGAGTGTTTGTTTTTCTGTGGGGCCCTTTTTGTATTAGAGTAAGTGAGCGCTGTGGAGTAACTGAGGTAAAGGATGAGGAAAGCAGAAGCCCTTGCCATAGGGACACTGGGATCTGAACCCTTTGCCTGGTATGATCAAGCTGGGTCCATTCCGAAATGCCATCTATTGTCTGGTTTAGAGGCCCGTCTTTTGTGCAGTTCCCCCGCCACTCCTCTGCTGGTTTGAAACTTTGGATAAGTGTTCACACCTGCCCCAGCAATGAAATTGGGGTAGCAGTGGGTGGAGCTCTGAGGAGCTTTGCAGGCCCTGCAGCAATTACTGTGGGGAAGGTCTTGGCCTTAGATTTTTTAATTTTTATGTGTGAGTGTTTTGCCTGCATGTGTGTCTGTGTACCATGTGCCTGGTGAACAAAGAAGCCCGAAGTCTGATCCCCTGGAACTTGGGTTACAGGTGGTTGTGAATTACCTTGTGGGTGCTAGGATTCGAACCCAGGTCCTCTGAGAGAGCAGCTTTACCACGGAGCCATCTCCACAGCCCTAAGCCTTACATTTTATTGCATCTAAAAAGGAGGTCACCCGTGGAATGGGAGTGCTTAGCTGGAGTGCCTTGCTTGTCATGCTATTTCCAAATGCCACTTGTCTCCACAGCTCCATCCTCAGGCTTCAGTGAGGTGTTTATTTCATCAGCCTTTACCTCTCTGTCCCTTGAAGTCATCATGGGCCATCTCACTGAGGTCAGAAAGCAGTTTGTATTAAGTAGGTCTTCTGCCGTCAGGATGGTGGAAGAACCTTGGCTCACATTCGGGTCCAGTTCACCTCCATTGTTGCCGCCGTCTGTGGGATAGGGTTGCTGCTTCACAGTGGCATGGCTCGTGAAGGAAAAGCACCGGGAAACTGGGTTAATGCCTGTGTGTCTCTGCTCACAGCATTGTCACCATCTCAGACAGGCAGTACCGAGCCCAGAGTGTCATAGGGAAAGAAACACAGTGCCTCTACTTACTCAGGCCCATGGGAGATCCCGAGTCTCCCTGAAGCCAGTGGTCAGCCCTGCACAAGGCCTGGAGGCCTTCCCCTCAGGCTCTTCTTGGCCCCTCACAGAAGGTGTTCATTGCACTCAAGGGTGCCAGGCTTGCTGCTCCTGACACATTTTCTCTGCCTGGCTCATTATCTGGGTCTGATTCTTCATTATTTTTCACTGCAGGGGCACGTAAGCCATTTCTGGGGCGCCCAGACCCCTGAGCTCCAATGCTGCTGCCTGGCTTTTCTAACGATACAGGGGTCGCCAGTACAATAATATGTGATGTTTGTCACTGGCCTGTGTGGCAAGTCAGAAGTACAGCACATACCCAAAAAGGAACCTGGGCCACTTCTCTTGCTCAGTGGATTTGGGGGTGGCCGGCTTTAGGAAAACACTTTAGGTGAGATGTGGGAAACTGTTTCTCATCCATTTGCAAGTCATTGTGTGACATGAGAACAGCAGGCAGGCCGCAGGGAAGAGAACTGGGCTGGGGACCAGGTGGACCTGTAGCCAGCACAGAGATTAACATCTCATTTACCTCTGCTCTATGACTTCTAGTCACCCATGTTTGACGGAAAGGTCCCACACTGGTACCACTTCTCCTGCTTCTGGAAGGTGGGCCACTCCATCCGGCAGCCTGACGTTGAGGTGGACGGATTCTCTGAACTTCGGTGGGATGACCAGCAGAAGGTCAAGAAGACAGCAGAGGCTGGGGGCGTGGCAGGTGTGTATGGGGGGCAGGTACAGCCCTGTCTGTCCTGCACATGTCGGGTTCCAGAGCACACTGCCATGTGGTCTATTATTGCATGAGGTTTGATGGTTTGTTTTTCCAGACGCTGGAAATGTAGCCTTTAAATTTGCATGGTTCTTGTTTTTTAATAGGCTTTAAATTTTTTATTTTATTATTAGGGGTGTATGTATATATGTGGCCCGCTCGAGAGGTCAGAGGACAGCTTTACTGAGTTGGGTCTCCTTTATTTACATGGGCACGTTACCCCAAGGGGGAGACTTCTGCGCCTTATCTTCTTCTCATACTGCTAATTCTTGCCTTAAAAAAGAAGAAGCAGACCTCAGACAGAGGCAGGTGGATCTCTGTGAGTTCAAGGACACCCAGTGTTATGTAGGAAGATCCTGTCTCAAAACAAAATAAAAACATACCTCAGGCTGGGCAGTGTTGGCACACACCTTTAATCCCAGCACTCACAGAGGCAGGCTGACCTCTGAGAGTTCAAGGCCAATATGGTCTATAGAGATAAGTTCCAGGGTTACACAAAGAAACCCTGTTTTGAGGGGAGAGGGGTCCTCACAGTCATCAGTCTTCCTACTGTAGCTTCCTGAGTGCTGGGATTGCAGGTGTGCGCTCCCGTGCTGGCTTCTGTTCTGATTTTTAGCCCCGGGTTTAGTTTCAGGGAAGAAGGGAAATAAACGTCTGTACTTTCTTTTGTACTTCTTCATTCAGCGTGATGTGTCCTTGGTTCTGTAGCTGAACTGTATTCCTTCCTTTGAACACCATACTTTGCTAGTCCAGTTTTCTCTTGGTGACTCTGAGTTGTTGACTGTGTATTCCACCAGACTTTGTAATATTGATAAATTTGAGTGTCCTTCATCCAAAAATCTGAAGTGCTCCACAGTGTGACACTTTGAACAGCAGTACACACCGCAGGTGGAAAATTCCACACCTGATTTCATGACAGTTGGAGTCAACATCGTAGACAGGCTGGAAATACTGAGGTGTGCACTTACCTTTGGGCTCTGTGTACACCATGTCTGAGAAACAGATGGATTTCATGTGGTCCTGCAGCCCGTCCTGTCTTCAGGATGTTTTGTGTATCTGCAGTTATTCCACAAGTCAAAACAAAAACTCTGAATGTGAGAACAGATTGCCTAGGCTTTTGGATGGGGATATTCAGCCTGTAGCGCTTGTGATGGTTTCTTTTTTCCAGTTTCTTTTTCTAAACTTTTTGGATTTATTTATTTGTTTGTTTATTTATTTATTTATTTATTTATTTATTTGGGTTTCGTGCGTGAGTGTTTTGCCTTAGTGTACGTATGTATACATGCCACATTTGTGCCTGGTTCCCAGGAGCTCAGAGAAGAACTTTGTGTCCCCTGGAGCTAGAGTTACAGATAGTTGTGAACTACCATGTATGCGTCCTGGGAACTGAACCTGGGTTCTCTACAAGAGCAACAAATACTCTGAGCCACCTCCCCAGCCTGCTTGTCATGATTTCCATGTCTACTTTATTCCTGAACTCTGAGTGTTTAACTAGGTGCAGACCACTGGCCAAACACAAGGATTGTGGTTATACAGTCTCCCGGTCTGTGGCTTGCCTTTCAATTTAATTATAATGTTTATTACATTTATGTATTTATTTGTGAGGAGGGGGGTTGTACACATGCCCTGGCAATTCCTTCCTAAAGCTGATTGGGTCCCAAGAATGGAACTCGGGTGTAGTTGGACTTTCCTTTGGGCCACCAGATCACAACAGTACAGAGACTTATTATGAAAGCTCAGCCTATTGCTTAGGCTTGTTCCTAACTAGCTCTTATAACTTCAGTTAACACATTTATATTAATCTATGTTCTATCCCATGGCATTACCTCTCTTCCATCTTAGGCCTCCTGTTTGCTCTCTATGTCTCTTGGCCGAGCCTGCCTGCCTAGTTTCCTCCGGCTCCTCCTTTCCCGCCTATACCTCCTGCCTAGCTATTGGCCATTCAGCTTTTTATTGCACCAATCACAGCAATGCATCTCCACGTGTTGAACAAATACCCCACAACACTTGGGTGGAATTAACTTGTGTTACCTGTGTGGAAGACAGTGAGGGGTTTTCCTGTTGTTAAGCCGCATTTGTCGGAAAGGCTCTGTTAGTTACTTCTGCTGCTGTGATGGAGCAGCGGGACCAAAGCAACTTAGAGAAGGAAGATTTTATTTGGGCTCCTGGTTCCAGAGGGCGAAGAAGAGTCCATCATGACAGGAATGGGCTCTGAAATATTTTATGTATTTAAATTAAATTATACTCTCTGAAGTAGTCTATGTATCTAAATAGCTATGTGCTTTAATTCCTAAATTAAAATGGTTTTTATTTCTAACATGTGGAAATGGCTTTCACATTTGCATATTGTCCTGGTTTCCTATAAATTTGCAAAGTATACTTACTAGTAGCTTTTCTATAGAGTCCTGAGGCTACCCTGTGAATATTACCATGTTCAGACTTATTTATTGTCTTCATATGTGGGCCAAAGGTTCACTTGAGGAGGCCAGAAGACAATTTGTGGGAATCTGCTTTCTCCTTCCTACGTGAGTCATGGCCAGTTAAAGTTGTCAAGCATATTGCCCTCAAAGCCATCACACCATATTTATTTTTTAGATGAGACTCTCACTGTTTAGCCCTGGTTATCCTGGAACTCTTATATAGACCAGGCTGTCCTCTGCCTCCCGAGTACTGGGATTAAAGGTACATGCTGCCAGGTGGTGGTGGCACACACCTTTTATCCCAGTACTTGAGAGGCAGCGGCAGGTGGATATCTATGCGTTCAAGACCAGCCGGTCTACAAGAGCTAATTCCAGGACAGCCTCCAAAGCCACAGAGAAACCCTGTCTCGAAAAACCGGAGAAAAAAAAACATGTGCCACCACACCCAGTATGAATCCAGGGACTATAGAGGTAGCTTAGTGGTTAAGAGCACTGGGAGCTCTTCTAGAAGACCTAGGTTTGATTCCCAGCACCTACAAGGCAGCTCACAGTGTTCATAGCTCTAGTACCAGAGGATCCAACACCCATTTCTTTCCCCCACCAGGTATGCACCTGATACACAGACATGCAAGCAAAATCCCCTACACATAAAGCAAAATAAACTTTCTAGATCTAGCTTTTGTCTCTTCCCCCAAGCCCTTCGACGTATGTTCAGGTCTTATATAGACTGGTGTTTTATCTGTATTTAAATGTTCCTTTCAGTTCAACACTTAACTTTGAATCATAGGCGCACAATAGCAATGAGAAGTCTGAGATGGGAATTATAACAGAAAGTAACCACAGTTGTTGCCAGTAGAGATGACCTAGACTGATTATGGTCAGCCAAAACAGTGTCCTTGTGGGAGGATCCTGGGAGGAGGAAGACAGAAGTTGGGGGCATTGGGACTGCGGAGTTGAGCAGTGAGATGTGTTCTGTTCTTCAGGCAAAGGCCAGGACGGAAGTGGCGGCAAGTCAGAGAAGACGCTGGGTGACTTTGCAGCGGAGTATGCCAAGTCCAACAGGAGCACATGCAAGGGCTGTATGGAGAAGATAGAAAAGGTGGGCCTGGGCCCGTGTCAGCACTTCCAGGTCCCAGGAGAAAAGAGCAAACAGCCTTTACCTTCTGCCTCGGGCCATGTGGTTAAAGATACAGTGGAGATCCTTGTAGAGATGGGAATGGCCCGTGTTTTAGGAAGGCCTAGTCCTGGGCTCATCAGCAGGGCGCCCTGCAAGAAAGATCTTGGAGAGCACCGGCAAAGGTCCCCACAAAGTCAGCAGTTCTTGGTGACTTGAGGGAGTTCTTGTGTGGGGGGTTGGAGGTTAGCACCCCTGTATCACCAGAGGAACTTCACAGAGCAGCCTCCCCTGCCACCAGTTCTTGTCCCTGAAGGCCGACAGCCAGTTAGGTGGAGTGGCTGGCTGAGAATGGGGTAGAAAGTGTGCCTGTGCTCGCCAATGTTCTCTTCTCCAGTGCTGTGAATCACATAGTGCTTGTTGAGGGTTTCTCCCCGCTGTGAGCCATGTGAGTCAACCTTCTGTATGGTGACAATGCCAGAGATGGTCCAGCTGAAGACAGGGAGGTTTGTGGTGGCTCACGGTTTCAGATGTCTCAGTCATGGTTCCTTGGCCCTGTTGGTTTGGGCCTGTAGTGACATCACACATGGCAGGAGCATGGCCAGGGAGGCCTGATCGGCTCATGGGACGCAAAAGAGAAAGACCAACATCTTAATACCAAGGGAAAGAGAAAGACCAACATCTTAATACCAAGGGGAAGAGAAAGACCAACATCTTAATACCAAGGGAAAGAGAAAGACCAACATCTTAATACCAAGGGGAAGAGAAAGACCAACATCTTAATACCAAGGGAAAGAGAAAGACCAACATCTTAATACCAAGGGGAAGAGAAAGACCAACATCTTAATACCAAGGGAAAGAGAAAGACCAACATCTTAATACCAAGGGGAACCCAAATCTCTACCCTTCTAGCACTAGGCTTTCCACTGCCGCCCATGAGGATCACAGTCTGGTGCTCTAAGGGCCTTTGGGATAATTCAGGAGCCGAATGTAACAGACAGAAAATTGAGGGAAATGCCATTGCTAAATGCCCTCACCTTTCACCATTAAAAATTGGAGGCAAAAATTATGGTGCTCTTGCTTCCTGCTCTGTGCACTTGAGTGTGACTCAGCCCCAGATGCGTTTTTCTGCATTGTCAGGAGCCCTGGCCACTGGGTTCTTTGCAGCTACCTCATAGGTGGGAAACTTATAGGAATGTCAGTGGTGGGAATTGTACACCTGGCAGGCTGGCAGGACCCAGCTCTTGCTTGTCACTGCAGCTTAGCCTAACCCTTAAATATAGCAACCGCAGAGTCCGCAGGAGGGTGAGGATAGGTGGCAAGCCCCTGTCAGGATAAGCTGCCACAATGTTCATGGGAGGGTGAGGATAGGTGGCAAGCCCCTGTCAGGATAAGCAGCCACAGAGTCCATGGGTGGGTGAGGATAGGTGGCAAGCCCCTGTCAGGATAAGCTGCCACAGTGAAGCTATCACAGAATGGTGCAGTGTCACTGCAGACCAGCACATCATGTCAGCATCCTAACCCACCCCAGGAGTGTTAGTACTTTGTTACTTGTCTAAGCAGGTGGGTGGGTAGATAGCCATCTAAAATGTAAGTGCAAGGTGTCTTATTAACGTGGTAGGTAGCGTGTCCGTCTCATAGAATGTAAATGCAGGGACCTAAGGATGCCCCACAATCCTTGATGGCCTAAGCCAAAATTTTCCAGGTTGCCACCTGTGCCTTGGTTTGGACTTGGTGCCTTAGGGTAGCTGTTCCCTGTCCTGCCCGTCATTCCTTAGGTACCACATTATTTTCCCCACAGGGCCAGGTGCGCCTCTCCAAGAAAATGCTGGACCCGGAGAAGCCACAACTGGGTATGATTGACCGCTGGTACCATCCAACTTGCTTTGTCAAGAACCGGGAGGAGCTGGGCTTCCGGCCTGAGTATAGTGCCAGCCAGCTCAAGGGCTTTAGCCTCCTCTCTGCAGAGGACAAAGAAGTCCTGAAGAAGCAGCTCCCAGGAGTCAAGAGTGAAGGGTAGGTGGACTGTGGTTAGAATGGGGAGGCCTAGGGGAGGCCTACAGAGCCTGTGGATTTCACTCTGCTGATGGTCAGAAAGCCAGAAGCTGTGGACCTGTAGCAGTAGGGAACTGCAGAGAGCCTGGGGCGTCTGCTGCTCCAGCGCCCTCTCTCCCACCCACCGGCTCACCAGCCATGAGATCTGCCCTAGGCTCTCGGAACCTCTCCCAGCTCCTGCTCTCGGGCTGGACCAGCACAGCTGAATGGCCAAGGTTCACCGCCCTGTAAGGCTCTGCGCGTCACTGCAGTCGTGCGGTAGAGCTGTTCTGTGTCTGGATCTCTGGGAGAAACACGGCTATTCATATGTGGATGGACAGCAGGAAGGGCAGGGCCTGGAATCAGAACAGATGGGCCCACACGTGCAGCTGTCATCTGGGGTGGCTGGTTAATGAACGTGCTGAGGGTCATAGACCTATGTACTATGCTCGTGAACAGTATCTGTACCACTGTCACCAAGAAGCTTGCACGGTTCCAGATCCTGACACAAGCTCATGGAGCTGTACCAGTGGCTCTGGAGTGTGAAGCTAGCAAGTCAGGCCAGTGGTGAGGATGTCCTTGGGCTTTTACAGCACAGGGCGTTGGGATTTATTGGCTACCAATATGCCTGGAGAACTGGAGTATGTTGAGCACGATTGTGTGCTAGGCCTTCCCCTCAGCCCTGTGCCTGAGTGAGCTGTTTCCTCCCGTGTCACCGTAGTCCATACTGGTGCTCCCCTAGCGCTCAGTCAGGCTGCATGGTGGCCTGGGGAGCAGCCCTGGGTCTCACTCTAGGCTTGGTTCTTTGTTGGTTTTTGTTTTTCCAAGACAGGGTTTCTCTGTGTAACAGTCATGGCTGTCCTAGAACTCATTCTGTAGACCAGGCTGGCCTCGAACTCAGAGATCCGCCTTCCCAGTGCTGGGATTAGAGGTGTGCGCCACCACTGCCCAGGTTCAGTTCTTGTAGCTGTGTTTGGCTTTTCCACGATTCCCCGTCTCTTGGTGTGTAAGAGACATGGAGTTTAGCATCCGGTGTGACCTGAGCTCTTTGTCTGTCGTGGCTGTTCTGGACTCTGAGTTGAGTGCCAGGCCCCTCGCTGTCAGAAGCAGCTCCCTAGAGCCGAGTGGGAAAGAGGGCAGAGGAAGAGGCAGCTAAATGGGGTTAAGATGACATGAGGCTTGTTAACCTGGTGGTGCTGGGTGTCGGCCTGAGGGCTCTGGGTCTTATTAAGTCCTGTGTCTTTCAGAAAAAGAAAAGGTGATGAGGTGGATGGAGCAGATGAGGTGGCCAAAAAGAAATCTAAGAAGGGAAAGGACAAGGACAGTAAGCTGGAAAAGGCCCTCAAGGTGAGTCCTGGGCTGTCTCCTTTCTGTCCCTTCTCGTGCAGGAGGACATCAGCTGTCCCTACTTACCAAGACCAGTGTAAATTCTTGCTTGCATGGCTGCTCTTGAGACACAAGGCTTTTGTCCCAACTTGTTCTCCTCCCCCCCTCACAGAAGTCATTTTTATTTGGGTGGTGGGACACATTGGGCTCAAGTGCCAGGCCTGCAGTGTAGAATGTCTCATGTCCTCAGACTCACTAGGTGACACAAAGTGATGTTCTGGTCCAACCCAGGCGTCACTGACCATCCTACACCAGAGGTTCTTAGCATAGACTCTACCTTGGGGCCTCAGGAGAAAGTTTTCCTAGTTTTAAAATTTAACAAAGGACTGGAAAGCATTCAGTAAAAAGGAATCTCCCCATCCCAGCACCTGAGAGGCAGAGGCAGGCAGATTTCTGAGTTCTATGCCAGCCTGATCTACAGACTGAGTTCCAATACAGCCAAAGCTACACAGAGAAACCCTGCCTTGGAAGAAAAAAAAAAAAACAAAAACAAAAAACAACCAGAGGGGTTCATCACTGTTGGCTATGCTGTTTGGGCAGAGAACAGTAGGTCTCTTCTGGGAACATGGTTTTTCAGGGGCCGTCTGTCTGAGTTTGTGATTTTCAGCTTTTGCTAGTGGCTCAGTAATCTGGTTTTGACTGGTAGAGCCCTCTGCTTGAATGAATGTGAAGTTCAACCAGCTTTCCTTTCCCTTTGGGGGCAAGGTGTTTTGGCTGCCTGTGTGTGTATCACATGTGTGTTTGCTACCTACAGAGGCCAGAAGAAGGTACTGGATTCTTTGGAACTAGAACTAGAGAAGGTTATGAGCTGCCATGTTGGTGCTGTGAATTAACCCAAGTCCTCTGCGAGAGCAGCCAGTGCTCTTAACTGAGACGTCTCCCCAGCCCCATGTTTGATTTTTATCCATTTTTACTTTGATGTCTTTGCAGTCCCTTGGGTGGGTGTGCTGATGTTCTGTCCCCAGTGTTGCCAGTGACGAAAAGCAAGACAGAAATTTGAATTAACCTCTCAGCTTCTTCTACCCCAATCTGTCTCTGTCCTCAGCTTTAAAAGAGAAATAGGTCTGCCATTTCTGTGAAACTTGTGTTCATGAATTGCTGCTTCTGGTATCAGTATGTGCTCCGCTCTGGGGAGAGATGCAGAGGATGTCCCAGAGAGCCCAGCACTGGAATGGGGAGGCAGGGAGTGTGTGTGGTGATGGCATCAGTCAGAGTTGAATGTCTCTCCTGGCGTTGAAGCAGCCTGTGTGATAGCGTAGGGCCAGCATTCCCCTTTCTGTCTCGGGGTGCAGCCTGGTGTGTGATGCCCACCTTGCCTGACGCCCCAGGGAAGGTGGAGGCTCATCTTGGCCCACCTCCTCGGCAGGAAGTTGTGAGAATAAATGAGGGGACTTAAAGCACCAGCAAAAAGTGGGCCTTAGTAGACTAAAGTTCCAGAAGAGCCCACAGAGATTCCTGCTTGAGCGCAAGTGTGTGGGAGACTATGCAATCTAAGTGGGTGTTGGAAAAGATAATTGAGGCTCTTAGCCCTACCCAGAACTTCTGGTTGCTCTCTGTGTCTCTTAAAACAGGTTTCTGAGGGGTTGACACCAGGGCTCCGTGTAATAAAGGATTCAGTCTTGGTTTTTCAAGACCGGGTTTCTCTGTGTAGCCTTGGCTGTTCTGAAATTCATTCTGTAGACCAGACTGGCCTCACTCAAACTCTGCCTGCCTCTGCCTCCCGAGTGCTGGGATTAAAGGTGTGTACCACTATCACCCAACAGGGATTCAGTCTTAAAAGCAGTCTCCTCTATACTTTCCAGAATGTTTTCTAAAAGAGTATTGCGTGAGTTTATTTTGAAGTACACATGGGTTTGCCTGAAAGTTAAACCCTGGCTGAGGGTGTTGTTGGTCCAGCTGCCTTTGAGGAACAGCCCAGCTCCATCAAGAGTGTGCCGTGGAGGGTTCAATGTCAGAGCCTGCCATTCCAGTGATAAGAGTCCAGCCAATAAAGACACTGTCCACCTAGTCTAGTGTCTTTGTTTGTGCACTACATGCTTGCCTGATGCCCAAGGAGATGGTTGGGAGCCATGTGGGTTATGATGACCAAACCTAAGTCCTTTGTAAAAGCAGTAAATGCTCTTAACCACTGAGCCATCTCTCAAGCTCTCCAACTCCGTTTGATTTTTTTTTTTAAGATGTATTTATTATGTATAGTGTCCTGTCTGCATATATGCCTATATGCCAGAAGAGGGCACAGATCTCGTTCTAGATGGTTGTAAGCTACCATGTGGGAGCTGGGAATTGAACTCAGGACCTCTGGAAGAACAGCCAGTGCTCTTAATCTCTAAGCCATCTCTCCAATCTGATTTATAATTAATTGTTAATTAATTAATATTAATATATTTATATTAATTGTCATGTGTGCTTGTGTAGGTCAAGGGACAGCCAGCAGGATTCAGTTCTTCTACAGTGGAGTCCTAGGGTTCAAACTCAGGTCATTAGGCTAGTAGCAAGTAGTTATACCCACTGAGCCATTTTGTTAATCAAGGTAGCCCTTGATTAACTCATTAGTCCAGCAAAGGCTGAGGCAGGAGAATTGCCATGAGTTTGGAGGCCAGCCTGGGTTCCTGAGTGAGATCCTGTCTTACCCCAGTCTCTCCCTAAAAGTTACCGCTTGAACTTTTGAAGTTTACAGCCCAGGCCTTTCATTAACCCAGAAGGATACCTATACCCCCTGCCTCAGTGGCAACCAACCATACCCCCAGATGCCCTTTGGCCAGCCTCAAGACCAAGGCAGCATCCACCAGCCCCTCAGCTGACCACTAGTCCTCTTGAGTTTGATCTATAAATGCTGTATTTTGGGGTCTGGATGTGCTAACACACACCTTAATTCCAACACTTGGGAGGCAGAGACAGGCGGATCTGTGTAAGTTCAAGGCTAGCCTGGGATACATAGCAAGTTCCAGACGGCTAGGGCTGCATAATAGAGAGACCCTTTGTCCAAAAAAACTTAAATTACGGAAGGAGAGAACCAGTTCCCACAAGTTATTTTCTGACCTACATACATATGCTATGGAACGTGTGAGCATGCACACATTACTAAATGGATCTAATATTTTTTAATTTACAGTAGTAAAATAATATTAATAAAGTTTTTTAAAAACTGATCTCAGTTGTTGGGGATCTCATTCTCAGGCCCAGAATGACCTGATCTGGAACATCAAAGATGAACTGAAGAAAGCATGTTCCACCAGTGACCTAAAGGAGTTGCTTATCTTCAACCAGCAGCAAGTACCATCTGGAGAGTCTGCGGTGAGCTGCCTTTGCATTAGAGGGACACACAGAGTCCACAGTGAGCTGCCTTTGTGTTAGGGGGGACACACAGAGTCCACAGTGAGCTGCCTTTGTGTTAGGGGGGACACACAGAGTTCACAGTGAGCTTGCCTTTGTGTTAGGGCGGGGTACATAGGAGGCCCTTCAGGAAGTCACAGCTCCAGGGCATTGTTGTATGATCATTATCACCGTCTCCTTCAGTCTGGAGGCATCCTCAGCTATACCATACATTGCCACATGTTTGTCCTGGTTTAGAACTTGGTGAGATCCCAAGGTGAGCAGGTACTTTTGCCTCATGTGTTCATATCACACTGGCCTAAGGACCTCTGCTACCTACTGCCATGTGTCCCGGGGCTGCTAAGGCCACCCTGCACCTGCTTGGGCCACTCCTTGTGTGGTAGGTAGGGTGAATGTTGCTTTCTGTGATTTCCTGAGGTGGGGATTGCCTCAGGAACCCTTCACTCAGAGATAAGGGTTCCAAAAGTGTAAAGCCTGGACTGTGTTGTAAGCTGGCACCTGAGCTATGGTAGAGCCCAGAGACAGCCTCTTTCTAGGAAATAGGGCCTGTTTGAGAGGTCCTCCATCTGCGTTAGTGGCTGTCCTTTCCTGACCCTCTTACCTCTGACATGTTTCTTCAGATCTTGGACCGAGTTGCTGATGGCATGGCGTTTGGGGCCCTCCTGCCCTGCAAGGAGTGTTCAGGCCAGCTGGTCTTTAAGAGTGATGCTTACTACTGCACTGGGGATGTCACTGCCTGGACCAAGTGCATGGTCAAGACACAGACTCCCAGCCGAAAGGAATGGGTGACACCAAAGGTAAGGGTGTGGGTGGGAAGCCACGACTCCCTCATCCACACTCCATGCAGGTCCTAAGATGACAGACAGTCCCTGCTCCCACCCTTCCTCATAATCAATGCCAAGAAGAGTTCATTCTCTCTTCCTCTGTTTCTGCTGTAATTGTACTCTCCCTCCCAGTCTTCTCTGCCTGCCTTTCCACAGCCTACCCGACTTTAGCATTTCCTCGCCTTTAAAATCTCAACTTGCCCAGCTTTCTGATTTGCACCTGGTAACATAAGTAGCCTGTGGGAACCCTGGGAAGTAGAGTCAGACAGGAAGGGAATCTGAACATAGGTACAACTAGGAAGTTCCTTTCTGAAGAGGGGGACTTGAGAGCACAGAGACTGCTCTTCACCAGAGCCGCTTGGATGTGGCTGGATGAGGCGTCATCAAGTGATCACTGCCCTCCCTAGGGCAAGCCTACTGCTGTGAGTCACCTGGGATACAGAAAGAACTGTGCCGGTTGATAGTTCCTGATGAATGAAAGAGGGCTTGATACAGGTGTTCCTCCCTAACAAGCAAGGGGGCTTAACCTGGTCTTCTTTGGAAAACTTGTAAATCTGTCACTGGGTGTGTGAGTTGTTGGTTTTGTTTTTGTTTTGGATTCCTCGCAGCCTCCCCAGTGTGGATACCCTGCAGCAGAGTGGTGCATCCATTAAAACCAATGAGCCTGCACTAACATGCCATCACCCACAGTCATAGTTTACAGTAGGGCCAAGTCTTGGTGGCACAGCCTGTGGGTTTTGATAAATGTAGACTGAAATGTGTCCATTAGGAAAGTATCGTTTTTCATGCATTGCCCTGAGACTCTCAGCCAGCCTCTGGAAGCCACTGACCTTTTTATCAACTCTGTTGTAACTCTTCTAGATCTCCCGTGGCTGGCTGGTCTAGAACGCTTTGAGTGTGCTGTGCTTACAGCCCCTCATGTTAGCTTCCTTCGCTTGGGGACGTGCAGTCAGGTTTGCCTGTAGCTGGGTAGTTGATTGGATTTTGATGCTGAATAGTATTCATTGTCTCTATATAGTCCTCGCTGGCCTAGAACTCACTGTGTAGACCAGACTGTCCTCAAACCCACAGAGATCTGCCTGCCTCTGCCTTCCCCAGTGCTGGGACTAAAGGTGTGCGCCACACTGCACGCCCACCGCCCCCTCTGGCCTAGAGCGTTCAGCTGTGAGATAGGCCCCTGTGGACACTAGAGAGAAGTGACCCAAGGACAAGGGCGGTCCTGGCATATGTCCTTGCACTAGTGAGTCTTCTCTCACCAAGTTGTCTAGTGGTTTTTTATTTTGTTTTTTAAAAATCACTTTTATTTTGGGGAGGGGCATGTGTACCATGGTCAGGGGGGAACGTGTAGGAGTTTCTTCTGCAGTGTGGGTGTCCTGTAAGTGGTGACAATAACAAGCTTTCTTCCTGGAACTTCACTTTCCTATCCATTACAGAAATTTTTTAAGATTAATTTGTGAGCCAGGTGGTGGTAGCGCATGCCTTTAATTCCAGCACTTGGGAGGCAGAGATAGGTGGATCTCTGAGTTGGAGGTCAGCCCAGTCTACAAAGCTATACAGAGAAACCTGACTCAAAAAAAAAAAAAAATCCCACTTGGCCTTTAAAACTAAAACTTATCATTGTTTAGGAATTCCGAGAAATATCCTACCTCAAGAAATTAAAGGTCAAAAAACAAGACCGGATATTCCCTCCAGAGACCAGTGCCCCAGCGCCGCCGGCACCTCCACCCTCTGTCACCTCCGCACCCACGGCTGTGAACTCCTCTGCCCCAGCAGGTATGACTCTGGGAAGGATAGGGCCGGGATTTGACCCAGGAGCTATGTCGTGCAAGGACATAGAATAACGCAGTGGGTATCCTGTGCTCTGTTTGCTGAGTGGACAGCGTTCTTTAGGGACAGTCAGAATATACCACACAAAGTACTGCAAAGCACATCCCCAGTCTCCGGGCCCAGTCTCCTCCCTGTCCCAGCTGCCATCAAGATCCTGGGGAGATCCCAGTCATGAGTTGACATGCCCTGGACCGTTGGAAGCAGTGAGATCTGTGTGTTTTGTTGGCAAGAGAAATGCTGCGTGCTCCTAGAGGCATGTAGACTCTTGACCCGCAAAGGTGGAGGCCATAGTGGGCTGGGTAGAGGGCAAGGTTCTGCTTCTGGACACTAGCCCAGCTTCATCTGTTCCACCCCTAGTAGTGAGCGCTGGTTACCCCAAGTCCTCTCTGCTGCTTGAAGCCTAGGGTCTTCATGTGCACATGGAGGTCAGTTAGGGTCCTTACTTGCAGGTCCTTCTCTGCTGTTTCCTCTGTGCAATTCACACCCAAATCAGAGATTTTGTTCTCTACAGAGACTTCATTGAGATTCGATTGGTATCCTCAACATTCACCCCCTAGAGAGGACAGGCTAGATATCCCCCAGTAGCGATACGAAGCTGTGACCTGGCTGTATCCAGTGCTGCATTCTCACCTTCAGCTCCCAAAAGGCCCTGCCCATGCCAGCCTGACAGTCAGTGCTGGGCACTTGGTATAGCTTGCTCTGCTTTGCCTGGAACAGGTCGGCTCAGTGTGAGCACACTGACGGAGGCCTTCAGTGTTGTCACCAAGGAGTCTGATCTGCACTTTGTTCCTCAAGAGTTGGGACTTGCCACTTCCCCTCCCAGCATTCTGTTCCCATCTCCAGATGCAGCCTCTCTAGTCTGCCTCTAGTAGCCCACCTGGTCCAACCTGTTCTGTGGCTTATTCCTCCCCAGTTTCTCTGTTGCAGAGCTCATGGGTCCTCAAGTTCACTGTTCTGCCCCTTGGTCCTCCCACTGGCTGTTGGCTTCTGTCTTCCTAAGATTTTTCCCAATGCTGGCCATGCTCATGGTTTCTCCCATGGAACCCTCTGCTTTGGGGGGTTGATTTTTTTGTTTGGTTGGTTGGTTGGTTTTGGTTTTTTTCTGTCTTGCTTCGCTTTGTCCTTTGCTGGGCCTAGCCTGATGCTTCTGCTCTCTTGTCCCAGATAAGCCGCTGTCTAACATGAAGATCCTGACTCTCGGTAAACTCTCTCAGAGCAAAGATGAAGCAAAGGCCACGATTGAGAAACTCGGGGGCAAGTTGACGGGATCAGCCAACAAGGCTTCCTTGTGTATCAGCACTAAAAGTGAGTTTAAGGCACCTGTGTCTCTTGAATGTGTGTGGGGCTAGTGGATGTGGCTGGCACAGCTGGGGTTCAGGTTCTCATCACCATTGCTGGAAGGTAAACTAGTATTTGTATTGTGTATTGTGTGTTCACAGTGGCTCACATTCCCAGCCACAGACCATAATAAGCTCCAGTGTTCTATGGGAGGTTCCCATGTTCGCTGCCAGAACAAAGATGTGAAAATGGAGAGGAATTGGTTCCGTAGTAGGTAGGGTGGAGATTACTACTTCAGTCTGGTGATGGAGCCAGGTCCATTTTTCTAGACTGTACTGCTGAGTGTTCAGGTCTGAGCCCGAGAGACCATTTCTGTCAAGTACCTGCCAACACCACACGGAAGGTTTGGAGAAGGTGGCCTCCCTTGGCATTCCATACCCGAGGGGCAGCGGATGCCACTGGACATAACTGTCAGATGAAGAGGCTCAGGCTGTACTGTTTGGAAGGGAAGACGTGTTGTTGATGAGGTCATTCGAATTCTGGGGCTTTGATAGCTGCAGTTCCAGGCTTACTTTTCAGCTTATGGCTTGCTTGGCTTTTCTTTTTTTCTTTTTCCTTTCTGGGTTTAAACAGAGGAGGTGGAAAAGATGGGTAAGAAGATGGAGGAAGTGCAAGCAGCCAACGTGAGGGTTGTGTGTGAGGACTTCCTCCAGGACGTGGCTGCCTCCACTAAGAGTCTCCAAGAGCTGCTCTCCGCCCACAGCTTATCCTCTTGGGGGGCTGAGGTGAAGGTCGAGCCTGTTGAAGTGGCGGCCCCCAAGGGGAAGTCAGCTGCACCCTCCAAGAAGAGCAAGGGCCCTGTCAAGGAGGAAGGTGAGGTCCAGCTGCCGTGTCCCTGAAGTGCAGCGCTCGCTCCAGTGAGCGGTAGCCTCAGTGCAGTGTTACCCCGCTGCCTTGCTGCTCGCCTCGGGAACCTGTTCTGTCTTTGTAGTCTTAGTTTGGTCTCTGTGGTCCTGCCCTTTCTCCAGGTGTCAACAAGTCTGAAAAGAGGATGAAACTAACTCTAAAGGGAGGAGCGGCTGTTGATCCTGACTCTGGTGAGTGATGAGGAGTCGGCCACCCCCCTCCCCCTCCCCTGGGTGATTAGGAGATTACCTGCAGTTCAGAGAGTAGCCAGAGGGGAGCAGGCATCCTTTGCTTGCCAGGCAGTCCTGGAAGCATGTGGGCCAGTGGGAGAGCCTCTAAAGGTGGTGGAACATGCAACTGACTGGGGACTCCTAGGCCCACAGACCTCTCTGTTGCACCCTAGCCCTTCAGGGGGAAAAAACTATAGGAGCTTTGCCTCTGGGGCAGGTCTGGAACACTCTGCACACGTCCTGGAGAAAGGCGGGAAGGTGTTCAGTGCCACACTTGGCCTGGTGGACATTGTGAAAGGGACCAACTCCTATTACAAGCTGCAGCTTCTGGAGGATGACAAGGAGAGCAGGTGAGCTGGGGACAGATGCCTCAGGGCTTAGTATGTGCTACCCACCTTGGGAAGTCAGGCCTTGAACAGGAGAACTCCTCACAAAAACTCCATAAAGAAATTGCAGCTACTGGCCATCTGTTAATGTTGCTATGGTTGGCTCAACCATCACAGGACTATTCTTTTAGCTATTAAAAAAAAAAAAAAAAACAGGGGCTAGAGATAGGGCTCAGTGGTTAAGAGCAGTGGCTGCACTTCCTGAAGATCTGACACTTTGACACCAATGCACATAAAATTAAAGTTATTAGAAAGAAAACAAGATTCGTGATTTATTGTTGCACACATAGTAAAATTAAATTTTATTCTGTTTATGTGTTTTTCAAATCAGGGTTTCTCTGTGTAGCCATGGCTATCCTGGAACTTGCTTTGTAGACCAAACTGGCCTCAAATTCTTGAGATCCATCTGCCTCTACCTCCCAAGTGCTGGGATTAAAGGCATGCGCCACCAACACCTCTATTTAAATTGGTTCTTTAATGCCATTCCACACTTGCTGGGGTCACTATAATGTAGGTGATTGTTTCAACATGTTTTAAGTTCTCTCAATTGTAGTGTGTTTGCCTGGTGTGTTCAAGGCTCTGGGTTCCATCTGTAGCACCACTCATTCAACAAATGAGAAAGGGAATGCTTTTAAAATTGTCCCTTAGGCCAGGCATTGGTGGTGCACACCTTTAATCCCAGCACTCGGGAGGCAGAGACAGGCGGATCTCTGAGAGTTAGAGGTCAGCCTAGTCTACCAGTTGAGTTCCAGGACAGCCTCCCAAAGAATACAGAGAAACCCTTGTCTTGGGGGGAAAAAATTGTTCCTTAGTGGACAGTGGTGGTGCATGAAGCAGGCCAGCCTGGACTACAGAGCAAGTTCCAGGACCCCAGCGCTACACAGAGGTAGGGGACAGCTGTCCCTTACTGAGGAGACCCTGGAACAGAGCAGAAGCTCACCCGGCTGTCTGCCCTTCTTACCCTCTTACAGATACTGGATCTTCCGGTCCTGGGGCCGAGTGGGCACTGTCATTGGCAGTAACAAACTTGAGCAGATGCCATCCAAAGAGGATGCTGTTGAGCACTTCATGAAACTATATGAAGAGAAGACTGGCAATGCCTGGCACTCAAAGAACTTCACAAAGTATCCCAAAAAGTTCTACCCTCTGGAGATCGACTATGGCCAGGTAATCATGGTATAGTTTTTCATCATCCTATTACAGAAAAGAGCCCTTGTCTCAGAGAGTGACCCAGCTCTGACAAGAGTTAATGACAGCAGTGTGACAAATTCTCCCCAAAATGGAAGAAAACTTGTGGCTCATGCACGAGGCTGGTGTTACCCAGGAACATGTCTGTGGTGTGCTGCTAAGTCCTCCCCTAGCAATCAGCAGTGTGTGAGAATGTGTGCAGCCACGTGCAGTAGAAACCCATGATTGAGGTTGCTTGGCATGTCAGGATGCCCTCGTGAAGGAAGGGCAGAAGTCACGTGATCATCTCAGCAGCCATAGGTAAGTGTAGTTACAGTTGTTGCCACACCCACGAGCAATAGACCCAGTATTATCTTATCTTTATCTATTCTGAAACTCCCTGTGTGGTACCAGACAGCATGCAGTTACCTCTTAGGTGATATTTTTGTAGCTAGATGTTCATGTTTGCTTGAGCTAGGGGCTTGCTCTTTAGCTTCAGCCTGGGAAATGCTGGGATTGGGTGCCCTAAGCCCCACAGGTGGAGATTTTGGTTCCAAAACTTGGGGTCTAGCATGCCACAGAGGAGAAGTTATTTCTATTGTAGTGTTGTGAGCTCCGCATTAAAAACAGAATTTAGGGGGCTGGAGAGATGACTCAGAGGTTAAGAGCACCGGCTGCTCTTCCAGAGGTCCTGAGTTCAATTCCCAGCAACCACATGGTGGCTCACAACCATCGGTTATGAGATCTGGTGCCCTCTTTTGGTGTGCAGATACACACGGAAGCAGAATGTTGTATACATAATAAATAAAATCTTTATAAAAAAAATAGAATTTAGAGGTTACTGGAGAGATGGCTTAGTGGTTAAAAGTATTGACTGCTCTTCCAGAGGACCTAGGTTCAATTTCTAGCATCTGTGTGTGGCAGCTCACAACTGTCTAACTCCAATTCTAGGTGCCCTCTGACACCCTCACACAGACATAGTACATGAAGGCAAAACACCAATGCACATAAAATAAAATAGATTATTTTAAAAATAATTTTAGAGGCTGATGTGGTGGCTCACATCTCTGATCCCAGTGCAGAGAGCAGAGGTGGGTGGATGTCTGTGAGCTTGAGGTCACTCTGCTCATCATAGCCACCAGGTTACATAGTGAGACCCAGGTTACATAGTGAGACCCAGGTTGCATAGTGAGACCCAGGTTACATAGTGAGACCCTGGTTACATAGTGAGACCCAGGTTACATAGTGAGACCCTGGTGGGTGGTTTTTTTTTAATTTTATTTATTTTGGTGTTTTGTTTTAAATGAATAAATAAGTAGAATTTAGCTCTTACATAATGCTGAGGCTGAAACCCTGAGACCTTGAACTTGGAGGTGGACAGGCTTGGTCTGTTCTCCACTGAATTAAATATCTTCAGTATTTGTTTCAGAACCTTTTTGAGAAAGGCACAGACAATAAAACTAGTCATTTTACTATGGGAATAGCCATAGTAAAGTCATGGCACGTGTCTGCACCTGGCTAGTTTCACCACGATACTGGAATCCTGCCTTCACATACCATGTGGTACACACCATCTCTTCCCTCGTGGCCCAGGATCACCCCACACACTTTCTCCACACCACTTCCCCTAGGAGCACGGTGTGAGACAGATAAGAAGCAGGAACCAGCCGGGCGATAGTGGGGCACGCCTTTAATCCCAGCACTCGGGAGGCAGAGGCAGGCGGATAGGCTCCAAACTATACAGAGAAACCCTGTCTCGAAAAACCAAAAAGAAGAGAGAAAAAAGAAGCAGCAGAAACCATGACTCTAGCCTTAGTAATTTAGCCCAGCATTGTGCAAATGGTCTCTTCATAACATGATTTGATACCAACAGAACCGTTGAGCATTTCCTGTTTGTACTATGACACCTGGTGTATTTACATAGCACTCAAAAAAGTGGCGAGTTTCAAAACCTCAATGGCCTGTCATGTAGCCAGCAGCTGCCATAGTAAACTAATACCTACCTAAAGGTACTGTTTACTTTTGGAATGTTGAGGGTTTGTTGGTTGGTTTTGCAATCAGTTTTTGGTTTTGGTTTTTCGAGACAGGATTTCTCTGAGTAACGACCCTAGCTGTCCTAGAACTAGCTCTGGATGAGGCTGGCCTGCCTCTGCTTCAGCTGGCTGACAAAACATGAGATAGCATAACGACAGATGCTGTAGGGGAAAGCTTATAGACAGGTTCCTGCAGCTGGCCCTGGGTTAACAGGTGCTGGGAAAGGGCAGACTGTCTACTGACAGGTTCCTGCCTGTTGATCTGAACATCATTTTCATAGCAGTCATCCTTCTAAGGTGGGCATGGGTGTGCATGGCAGCTGCTTCTGTAGGCACCAGCATACCCAGAGAGGGCCACACTTCATCGGAACAGCTAAAACAGGGGCCTGGACCAGTCTGGGACTTGGGAATGCATGGGAATTATTTTGCCTGTGCAGAAGCCCTCCTGACCACCATTGTCTGAAGAGTTTTGGTGAACATTTGGCTGGTTTTGCTGGCAAATATCCTATCTTGCATCATAGTTACCTGTAGGTAACCCATGATGACACCACCCTTTGTCTTCTTCGGGGTTCCCTGCTGTCCTGAAGGATGAAGAGGCTGTAAAGAAGCTGACGGTAAAACCTGGCACTAAGTCAAAGCTCCCGAAGGCAGTGCAGGAGCTCGTCGGGATGATCTTTGACGTGGAGAGCATGAAGAAGGCCTTGGTGGAATACGAGGTGGGTGCTGAGCATGGCACGTTTTCCGGTGTAATTTGTCCTCTCTAAAAATGGGGGGCCCACATCCTCATCCCTGCTCTTGCTTGCCAAATGTCACTCTGCTGTGGAATGTAAAATATACTGTAGAGAGCTGGCCCCCTTGTGCCTGTCCCCATTTTATTTCTTGTTGGGGTGGGTAGGTCTAGTTCTTTGGGACCCAAACATAGCAGCTAGGTGATACCAATGGAAGTCCAAGGCTTTGTTCCCTGGAGAAAAAGGGCTGGAGAGAGATTGCACTGTAGATAACTGCACTCACTGCTCTCTCGGTGGACCTGGATTCATGGCGGCTCACAACCATCTGTAACTCAAGTTCCAAAGGAACCTGATGCTGTCTTTTGACCTCCACAGACACTAAGTACTCAAGCAGGATACAAGCATACATGGTGACAAAACAATCATAGATGGAAAATAATTTTTAAAATTTTAGACAATAAATTGTGACCACCACTGTCTTGACCCATGTTCCAGTCAATCAGTCAAACTCGTCAGCTCTTTCTGACACCTTTAATCCCAGTACTCGGGAGGCAGAGGCAGGTGGGTCTCTGTGAGTTCGAGACCAGCCTGGTCTACAAGAGCTAGTTCTAGGACAGCCTCCAAAGCCACAGAGAAACCCTTTCTCAAAAAACCAAAATAAATAAATAAATAAAGTTGGGTGTAGCTGTGGTAGAGTGCTGGCTTCACATATGAAGCAAAAAAAGAGGAAGGGAAGGTTAAAAGAGAAATACTAGCAGTTGAAACAATGATGCTCTTGATTGGGCCTGCATGGCAGGGACCACAGGCTAAGTCAGGCAGAGCCTGTTTCATCTCGCCTCCAATCTTCCCAGCAATTGAGGCAGGAGGAGACCTCCATACTTGGCCAGCCACGTGGCCTCCTGCTCCACAGCCATGAGCCCAGAAGCTGTAGGCTGCTGTGCAAATCAAGCCACTCTGGTAGGTGTGCCCAGTGCCACAGTCTTAGGGCAAAGAGTGTTGGATCTTGTAGCACACAGGTGTCTCAGCTCAAGCACTCAGTGAACATAGGCCAGTTCACTCGCAGGGAGGGGTAGGTGGCCCTTGAAACAGTTTACCTGTCATCTTTTTGTCACTGACAAAATGACCATGCTTCTGCCATCTCAGCTTGAGATCCTGATTAACAGTGGATCCTGAGGTGGTGTGGTTACTCAAAGTGTTGTTGACAACAAATGCGTAGCCTCCTAGGGTGGCTGATTTGAAAGGGAAGTGTCAAATTAGGTGTGTGTTCCTAAAAAATAACATTCACCACTTGGAAATTTGAGGCTCTAGTTTCTGAACTGGATGGCAGAAGGTACCCTTCCTCTGGAGTCCTGGGCAATGCAGCCTGCAGTGGGAGGCTCAGTCCATCACCTTGGTCCTGTGGGGATTGGTAGAGATGACTTTGCCTCTGAGCTGTATCGTTGGGCTGCTCTTTCTTACACAGAGTGCAGGGTGGGGTAAAGGGTTGTGACTCCTGTGCAGTGGGCCACTGAGTTTTGAGGGAGCAGTGCCCTTCAGCACTGGACAGAATACCCAGCCTTTACGTCCCCTGTCTCCCCAGATTGACCTTCAGAAGATGCCCTTGGGGAAGCTGAGCAAAAGGCAGATCCAGGCCGCCTACTCTATCCTTAGTGAGGTCCAGCAGGTAAGCGAGCACCTCAGGGTTTCCAGCCAGGCCAGCTTCTCTCCTAGTGAGAGACAGCAGCCGCATCTACTGTGTGGTAAAACAGTGACAGTACAGAACCATGGTTTATGTGGATTTGGATTTCTTTTTTTCCAGTTCAGTAACTATTACAGTCCCTGTCACTGTATTACAGGCCAAAGATTGTTAATGAAATATACAAATAGTGATGCTTCTAGTTAGCACATATGTAATAAACACTTTAGAAATTTGGTGGAGAGTTTTATTTTGTGTGTTTGCCGCCCTAGGGCTTTCTAGTACATACTCAAGAGATGAGAAAGCTCCCCTTATATTTGAGGGTGAGATGCTGGAGAGCTGAGCCCATGGTGAGCTGTAGAATCCGGGTGCCTCTGAGAATTGACCTTGTGTCCCTCCCTCCACCAACATTGCTGGGGCTTTCCAGCTCTTTCTGGCTCATGCCCCCGACATCGTGAACAATTTTCCTTTTGTTTCTGTGTTTGAGATGGCCTCTCTGTATGACGCTCAATGGCCTGAAACTCAGATCCACCTGCCTTTGGGTGCTGGGTTTAGAGGCATGTGCCACCATGCCCAGCTGAACTGTTTCCACATAAAAAACAAGTTTTACAACAGTAGCCATGAGCCCACCACATAGAGTTTGCACTAGCGCTAAGTATGGAGTGTATAATAACGCTTGTGCATACAATAGCAGCCTCGGTCCTATGTTCCTTCTGTCCCCTTTCCTTTCAGGCAGTGTCCCAAGGCAGCAGTGACTCCCAGATCCTGGATCTTTCCAATCGATTCTACACCCTAATCCCCCATGACTTCGGAATGAAGAAGCCCCCACTCCTGAACAATGCAGACAGCGTGCAGGTAATAGGCCCCTGACTCCTGGACTATCCTTACTGTGTTCTTTCAGAACAGGATCTAATGTTTCTTTCCATTGTTTTACCAAGTAAGTCTAGGAAATTGTCACTAGCCAAGAAGACCATTTCTCTTTATCCATCTAAAGGCCCCCATAAGTCCCTGGCTGAGATCAGTTAGTGGCATCCTTAGTGGCATCTATTTCCCTGCCTATCATTCATGTGTAAGAGCTCTGACATCTGCCCCACACTTCCCCAGCCATCAGAGCCTCATTAGCATGTCAGGGAATGCCTGTGACTATCAACTGTTGAGTGAGAGATGATGGCAGACTCTGGTCAACAAAGAGGTACACACACACACACACACACACACACACACACACACACACTGTGTGGGAAGTCATCTACATACTGACTTCTGTTAAGGCTTGATAGTCATCTTCCCTACGAACTTAGCTCACAGGTCTTTATTTTGTCCCCAGGCCAAGGTGGAGATGCTGGACAACCTCCTGGACATTGAGGTGGCCTATAGTCTTCTCAGGGGGGGGTCTGATGACAGCAGTAAGGACCCCATTGATGTCAACTATGAGAAGCTCAAAACTGACATTAAGGTGAGAGGCCTGCCCCTTCCCAAGAGCCGTGGTCCCCAACCTCCATGTGCACTGGAGCCATTTCCACATCTCATTAAAAGTCCAGCCAGGCCTTCAAGTTGCCCTCTCACAGAGCCAGATGGTGGTCCTTGATCCCCCCTGCAGGAGTCTTTGGAGCTAACTAGTGCCTTAGGTTGGTGTGGAGGCAAGATTTTGAGAGTCCTACCAAAAGTTCCTGTTTTTCTATTTGGGGCACAAGCAGTCAGTTGAACTTGGATGTGTTGAAGGCTGGGGCATGTGGGAATTGCCCTGCCCAGGCTATGTGCCTCTGCTCCTGGCCTGACATGCCTGTCTTCTGCCTCTGGTTGTTCCTGCCAGGCAGCATGGACCCATCATGGTCCAAGTACTCCTGGGGATTGGAGTCTAGACCAGGTGTTTCCAGATTCTTTGCCTCTTAGTCAAAGGATAAAAAGCCTCACAGGTTTGTAAAAAGTAGTATAGGTTGGGTGATCCTCTGTTTTTTGGTTGACAGACTTGATTATGTCTTTTGCCCCTGTGTATATCCTTCCCATAATGCATCTGATTTTAATCATGGGTGCCCCATTTAATGTAGCTATGAAATGGTAGAGGGGATTTGTCCTAGTCAGGGCTACTTACTGTTGCTGTGATGAAACACCATGACCAAAGCAACTTGGGGAAGAAGGGTTTATCGTTCATCGTCAGGAAGTCAGGGCAGGAACCTGGAGGCAGAAGCTCAGGAAGGGGTGCTGATTACTTGCTTGCTCTTCATAGCTTGCTCAGCCTGCTTTTCTTATAGAACCCTGGACCACCAGCCCAGGGGTGGCCCCACCTAAAATGGACTGGGCCCTTCCATATCAATCGCTAATTAAGAAAATGCCTATAGGATTGCTTGCAGCCCAGTCTAATAAAGGCATTTTCTCAGGTGCGGCTTCATCCAGTGGCTCTAGCTCTGTGTTGAGTTGGCATGAAACTAGCCAGCACAAGAATTTCTGCAGTTCACCTAAAGGACATAAATTGCCCTGTTGTGTTTGCATCTAAGGCCAACTGAAGCTTGATCAGCCTTCCTACTCTTAGCCAGACATAACTAGAATATAATTAAATAGAATCTATCTAAGTTATATGGTTGTCAAGAGGAGGAACTTACTCCAGTGTTTGGAGGTTGGTGTGCCTGCAGCCCTGTGCACAGAGGAGTGCTGAGTTGTTAGGTGTATTGGACAGAGAGGAGTGTGCACAGACTAACAGTGCAGTATCAGAAGGGTGCCTATGTAGCCCAGACCAAGTGGAGTCCCCGGCAGCTGAACTGTTCCCTATGCTTGCTTGCCTCACAAGCAGGCGCTGATGCCACATGTCCATTCTTAATGGCTCTTGATGAAGACACTCTTATTTCCATCTACAGTTACAAAGCTCGTAATTAAGATGCAACAAAGACAACCAGAACTCGTAGGTTTTCTAAACATAGAATAAGAAAACAAAGAACATCTGTAGCCTTCTGCAGAAGCTCGGTTTACTTAGTGTGGGTTCCGTTGACATCGTGTTGGGCATGTGCTGAGTCAGCATGAGGAAAACACACACGAACAAACACACACACACATCATACACACACATGCACACACACACACACACCAACCACACACACTACACACACACACACTGCACACTAAACATCACACACACACACACACACAACACACACACTAAACATCATACACACACATGCACACACACACACACACCAACCACACACACTACACACACACACACTGCACACTGCACACTAAACATCACACACACACACACAACACACACACTAAACATACACACACATGCACACACACACACTACACACATACCACACACATCATACACACCACACACACTAAACATCATACACACACACACACACACACACACACTGTCCTCGGAGCCCCATAGCAGGGCTGGGGGGATAGTTCAGTGGCAGAGTGGTCACTGGGTGTGTGCAAGGCCCTTGATCCCGTCCTTAGGACTGGGGTGGGGACAGGGAAATTGTATGATGTTACCTTGTGTTCCATCAGTGAGCTGGACTCCTGGTCCCACCTTACTAATAATGAACCCTGTTTCTAGCTTGACTCATACTTAGTGCATAGACAAGAACCCTTGAGCTCCTTTCTAGCAGTCCAGGTGGATGAAGAAAGTGATGTTTGGGGCCTGGCCTCGGCCTGCGGGTGTCACTGTTTGGACAGTAGGAACTGCTCCTGGCATCCTCTAGGCTTGTATACAGATGATCTTCACGGGGCTCTGTGGGGTCTCCCTGCCCTGATCCAGGTGGCCTGTTTTCCAGGTGGTTGACCGAGACTCTGAGGAAGCTGAGGTCATCAGGAAGTATGTTAAGAACACTCATGCCACCACACACAATGCCTATGACCTGGAAGTGATGGATGTAAGAATGCTTTTCCCTTTTTTGTTTTTGTTTTTTGAGGCGCAGTCTGTAGTCTTGGCTGTTCTGAAGCTTGCTGTTAGACCAGGCTGGCCGAAAATGTCATTACCAGAATCTCTTTTGTGGTGCAGTGCACATCTCTAGTCCCATCACTTGGGAGGCTGAGGCAGGAGACTGAAAGGGCCGAAGCCAGCCTGGGCTACATAGTGAGATTAGTCTCAAGGAAAAAGTTCCTTAGGTGCATATCTGCTGCATATTAGTGTATTTTGATGGCGGCTCGTCCCTGTCGAGTGTAGCCTTGGGACATATACATTGGATCATCCCATCCTGGCCTGTGGATAATGCAGCAAAGCCTAAGTTTTCTAGTTCGTGGGACAGGTGGTCAGTATCAGTCTGTTCATCTCTTCAGTCAACCTGAGTGACAGTATTTCTGCCTCCCTCTTGCTAATTGTCTGCCCAGATCTTTAAGATAGAGCGTGAGGGAGAGAGCCAGCGCTACAAACCCTTCAAGCAGCTGCACAATCGGAGGTTACTGTGGCACGGGTCCAGGACCACCAACTTTGCTGGCATCCTGTCACAGGGTCTGCGGATAGCCCCACCTGAAGCACCTGTGGTAGGTGGCTGACTTTGGGTACGATGAAGTGTGGAAGTGTGTGTTTCTGCAGTAATCTCATTAAAGAGCCCTGGGTGCTTCAGGGAGAGCCCACAGCTCACCCTGTCAGTACTACAGCTGTGGAGAGCCTCTGAGCCCACAGCTCACCCTGTCAGTACTACAGGTGTGGAGAGCCTCTGAGCCCACAGCTCACCCTGTCAGTACTAGAGCTGTGGAGAGCCTCTGAGCCCACAGCCCGCCCTGTCAAGACTACAGCTGTGGAGAGCCTCTGAGCCCACAGTAGTACAGCTGCACGTGTTTGAGACAGCTTCTGGAACAAAAGTGTCTAGACCAGGATGCTCTGAAGGCTGGTTGAACATTTGACATGCAAAGAACACGCTTTGGAGCCCAGGCATGCAGCTCCATGAGCTCCTGTATTTCCACCAACTAAATAAAGAGGACAAGGAATAGTTACATCACCTGCTGGGTTACAGAAGGGACCAACTGGACAGGGCCTCTGAGGTGGCCATCCCAGCCCTTCATTTACTGTTGCCTTGTGCTTTACTTAACCGGGATTAGGAGTAGCCAGTGTTTGCTGGATGTATACATCTATCTGGCCTAGTCCAAAAATAGTGATTATTAACTCATTAAATCTTCACATTACCCTCATGAGACTTCCAGGTGAGGAGACAGTAGCGACCTAAGCTGTTAGGTGACTTCCCATAGCCCTGTGGCAGTGCCTCGGAGGTGATGGCTGCAGGCTTTAGCCAGTGGCTCGTATGGGTGTTCTCTGGACTGCCTCACTTACTCTTAGAAGGTTTTCAGCTGTCCCTCTCCCAACTCTCCAGACAGGCTACATGTTTGGAAAAGGGATCTATTTTGCTGATATGGTGTCCAAAAGTGCCAACTACTGCCATACATCTCAGGGAGACCCGATTGGCTTGATACTGTTGGGAGAAGTCGCCCTTGGAAACATGTGAGTATCCCGGCTCTGAGGCCAGCGTGGGTAGAGTGCGCTGGAAGGAGAGTCTCCTTGGCCAGGCAGTGATCACAGAAATCCCCACCAGTTAGCGGACTCAGAAGTCAGGATTCTTGGCTTGTAAGTACAGTAAACAGTGGTTGAAGGGATCAAGGGAGATTCAGAGATGCTATAAAAATCCCACGCGTGCCAGGAACTGGCAAAGAGAAGTTCCAATTCCTCCAGCTTCATTCGGGCAACCTCCTGATCCTGTGTGCTGTGACCAAAAGAGCAACATGGTGAACTAAGCCATAGGGTGGACTAGACGGGACCTCCAAGCAGTGGCCACAGCTCCAAGCAGGCCCTTTCTTTGGAAATAACCCATAGCATGGACAGTTGTTGCAGGCTCTATACGTGAGAACACTCTAGGCTCTGAAGAGTCCAGGAGCTGGGAAAGGAGGGTCTGGTGTAAAGGTGTACAGGGTTCTATGGGCGTTTAGTTTACCTGACAGTAAAGATGCTGATGAATACTGGTTTGGGAGCCCAGTGGCCAGGGGCTAGTCTGAGATTGTCCTCTCTTGAATAGGTACGAACTCAAGCATGCGTCACATATCAGCAAGTTACCCAAGGGCAAGCACAGTGTCAAAGGTACTGTCCTCCAGGCTGGCATGGCAGATGGGGGGAGGGCTTTTCTCCAAAGGCTGGACTCTTGGAACTGCCTGCTGGAGGTTCATTTAAAAATGAAACTTTGATTCCTTGTTGCTTCAGCTAGTGTCATGATGCCATATGAGTTGTGTGGGACACCAGGAACCAAACGAGAGGGCACTGGTGGCCTGACATTGTGACCAGCTGTATCAGGCCACGAGGGACCTCTGGTGAACGTGGAGCTGTTGAATAGGCAGCACTCCCATCTGGGCCTCAGGGACTTCCCAGGGTTAGATAGGCACCGTAGAACCTTTATAGCTTCCGTGTTTGCGTCTGAAGGATGTTTGAAGTACACACTCATCTGTGTGAGTAGACATCAGGTAACCAGGACCTTTTCCCATGCCTTCTTGCACATCCCGTCATATTTGACCCTTCTACCTTACAGGCTTGGGCAAAACGACCCCTGACCCTTCGGCCAGCATCACCCTGGAGGGTGTAGAGGTTCCACTGGGGACAGGGATCCCATCGGGTGTTAATGACACCTGCCTACTATATAACGAGTATCCTTTCGTGGCTATGCCATGTGTTCTGGAACTGTACAGCAGGTGTGTATGTATGCTCTCACTGCCCAGGGCAGCTTATCTGGGGATAGTGACAACTTTTTCCCATGGATGGTCTCTCTGGGGACCAGCCTTCCCCAGCTTCAGAGGATTCAGTGTGAGGAAGGTCAGGAAACTCAACGGTTGGCTCCTTAACTACTGCCCTCCCAGGTACATCGTCTATGACATTGCTCAGGTGAACCTGAAATACCTGCTGAAACTGAAGTTTAATTTTAAGACATCCCTGTGGTGAAGTGTGAGGGGTGTGCTGCACCCAGCACCCAAGCCTAGGGGTAAACTTCCCCCTGGTGCCTCCACACCACAGACACCACAAAACCTCAGCCACACCGCTGCCTAATGGTGGCACCCTCACCCGATCTCCTTAGGGTTCTATATAGACAGGTTAAAGGGCTCTGGGTTCAAGTCCCTTGTCCGTGTTGCACTCGGTGGGAGGGTTGTTAGGGGTTTTATCCTACCAGGCATAGCCCTGATAGACACGGCTGACAGTAGAGGGAAAGTTGGGGAGAGGTTTTTGTTTTGTTTGCCTAGACTAGTCTTGAGGGGGAAAAGCCACGTCACAGCCACAATGTCTGCCTTACTGGTTCCCACAGGGAAGGGAAATGTGCTTCCTCCCTTTTTTCAAAGGTTCGTCTTTGGTTTGATTTTGGCAAAATGTTAAGCATTTATTTTAAGCTAAAAATAAAAACTAATTTCATACTATATAGATTTCTTTTATCTTGTACTTATTGTCCCCTTGTTAGCCTTCTGGGCTTTTGGGTTTTTTTGTTTTTGTTTTTGTTTTTTTGTTTTTTTGTTTTTTTTTTTTGGTTTTCAGTGATAGATATGGGGTAACTGAAAAAGGAGGAGCTTCCTGAAGCACGTAAATGGGGAAACTGAATGTGTGATGTGGTCAGTTCAGAGTTGCATTTGGGATTCTTGATTCATCCGTGAGTAATTTTGTCTTCCAAATTGAACCTCCTGTAATCAGTATAGCTGCCCAAAGGGCTAATAGTTCTCAATTAAAATGCAAATAGCTATCTGTTCCTATGTTGTGTGGCTCATCTCCTCTGACAGGGTTGTGGTTATCTTCACAGTGACCTGTAGAGGCCCTGTAGGTATGAACCCCCATAGCACTGAACCCCAAGAGTGTCCCTTCAGATTACTAATACTTGGTAAGGCAGTGAGATTCACTATGCCATCCCAAAGCCACAGGGCATCATCCTAGAGCTATCTGGAATTTAAAAATGATAGCTGAAGGCTGGAGAGATGGCTCAGAGGTTAAGAGCACTGGCTGTTCTTCCAGCAGTCCTAAGTTAAATTCCTGGAAAACGCATGGTAGCTCACAACCATCTGTAATGAGATCTGGTGCCCTCTTCTGACCTGCAGGGATACATGCAGGCAGAACACTATATACATAATAAATCTTTTTTCAAAAAAGAAAGAAAATGACAGGTGAATGTTAACATTCAGCTCTGAAAGTCAGAGCCCCTTTTGACCTTTTACAGAGGGGAGCTAGGGCTGACAAGCCAAAGGCAGGAGGCACAGACCCAGGATCATAGCATCCCCTAACATCCCCTAACCCAAGAACCCAAGAACTTCCAAGCTTGGGGTTGTTTTTTGTTTTTGTTTTTTTGTGAGGAAAAACAAAAGGCAGAACACACCCAAGGCAAGGGGGCGGGGAACCCTTAAAATTTTCTAGTTTGAGCAGTTAGTGTCATTTGTGACCTGCAGGTGTGTGACTGCAGTTACACTGCGGGATGTGAGGACGTGTTGGGTCTCTGATGAGGGATATGGGTACTGGTTGCTGGGCAGTCACGTTCTGACCTTTGCAGTGTCTAGCTTGATGAACGTCTCCAGCCTACCCAACCATTAACCTTTCGACAGCAGAGAAAAGCAGCTACCCTCCCAATGCCTGGTTAAGCATAGTGTTTTTAGTTTGGGGATATCACTCAATGGGTTCCCTTCCATGTTTAAGAAATTCAAGTCTGACCAGGCAGTGGTAACACATGCTTTTAATCCCAGTACTCGGAGGCACGGACAGGCTGATCTCTTGACTTCTACAACTACAGAAAAACCTCTGTCGTGGGGGTAGGGGAGAAATTCAAGTCTTACCCTGAGAATAACAAAGGTCTTTTGTTTTTTTTAATGCAGGGTTTCTCTGTGTATCCCTGGCTGTCCTGGAACTTGTTCTTAGACCAGACTGTCCTCTAACTCATAGAGATCTGCCTGCCGAGTGCTGGAATTAAAGGCTTATGCCACAGCTACTCTTACAAAAGAAAATAACTGGTGGTGGCTTATAGGTTTATTCCATTACTGTCGTGGTGGAAAGCCTGGTAGCATGCAGGCAGACATGGTGTCAGAGAGATAGTTCCATATCTGTAGGCAGCAAGAAGAGACAGTGAGCCACTAGGCCTGTCTGGAGCTTCTGAAGCCTCAACCCTTCCCATTTCCTCTACCAAAGCCATACCTCGTAATAGTGCCATTTCCAATGAGTCTTTGGGGCCATTTCAGATTACCACAGCAACCAAAGATGAGATCAGCCAATCTATAAATTTAAAACATGGACTTGGGCATAGCTCAGTTACAGGACACATGTTTGTGTGTCCAAAGAACCGGGATCTAAGTGCTGGTGCGACAGAGGCACACTCTGCCCACCTGGCGAGCTGCCCTCGGACAGCATCCTCAGCACCATCCCCAGCTGTTTCTGACCATAATGTCACAGTGCAGCACATGCCTGTGTTCCCAGAGGGCCCAAGAGGCACTGCATTCCTCCGGTCCGTTGGCCAGCAGGACCCTGCCGTCTCACTATACTTCAGTGCTGTCCTCCTGGGAGTAAGTACCAGCTAAGGCTTTATGACCAACTGCAGAGGTAAGGCTGGGGCAACCACTGGGTGTGTTGCCTACAGTCAAAGAGAAACTACCTGAGACGGCTTTCTGATGACAAGTGACTATATATTTAAATAGAGTCTTAACTCTGGGATACTGTTCCTCTCTTCTGGTGGCAGAAGATGGGGATCTACAGGAGGCCTACAACTCCACAGGTCATTGAAGCCACAGTCCCCAACATAATTGTGACTCTTCTAAGTGAGCCAAATCTGGCATCCATCTTAGTTATCTTGAGGATGTAAACACTGGTCCCTGTGAAGCACTCAACCCCCCGTCTATGACAAGTACTAAACAGGTTAGACCATTGCTGCTGAGGTCAAGAGAACGATATTGCCAGTGTCTGTATGCAAACAGGAAGTCCAGGAAAGAAAGAAACCAGAAAATAAAGACTGGATCTAGCTCTGCATTTCCGCCTCCACGAACCCCACCATGACCCTGGTTTCTTTCCAGAATGGCTGGCAGTCCTGTCCTCTCCCTTGACCACAAAGCAGCAGGCCTCTGGCTCATTCCATGAGAGGCCCAGCTCCACTTGCAGGCAGCCTCTCTGGGGCTTAGAATAGCCCAGCTGCTGGTTCAGCAGATGGCCAGGCTAATTTTAGCCATGTGCTGCTACTCACCGGGGGACTGGCTGGGCTGTCTAGATTTGAATAAGCCAACATGCAACTTTGGTTTCCAGCCAGTAATAGAGCTTTGAGTTGTGATCTATCTGTCTGCTCAGCATTTGATACGAATTTCAGACACACAATTTTAAAGGATTCTGTTTCTTCCAAACCAAGAGTTCAAGCTATGGAGCCAGCAGACAGTCAAGCCAGTATGAGTGCTGATGGATGCTTGGGGCGGTGGCCACCTGGTGCTGCCTTCCTGGTGGCATCAACATCCCAGGGACACCCACTGTTCATATTCTCCCGATTAAAATGGAAAAGGAGCCAGCCATCTTGGCTTCCTGAACTATCTATTGGGCAGCTCTTGGATGAGCCACATCTTGAAGCTTTGGAAAGACTGCACTCCCATAGGTGGTGCTTTGTGGCACCCTAACATGGAGTCGGCAGATCAGCTGTTTAAACTCAATAATAGTTTGGAACTGGAGTAGTTGAGAACTTGTATTTCCCAAAATTTTGTTGTTGTTTTTTTTTCCTTATCACCCCTTATGCAAGGGTTTCTGTTGTTTTTCGAGACAGGGTTTCTCTGTGTAGCTGCCCTGGCTGTTCTGGAACTCGCTCCGTAGATCAGGACTGGCCTCAAACTCAGAGATCCACCTGCTTCTGCCTCCTGAATGGTGCCACCCACAGTAGTCTTCACACCTGTTAACTCGTCAGGATAATCCCCAACAGGCATAACCAGAGGCCTGTTTTGTAGATTATTCTAGATCAGTGGTTCTCAACCTGTAGTTTGCAACCCTTTGATGGTCAAATGACCATTGAAAAACAGGTATTAGCATGAGTCACAACAGTAGCAAAATAAGGTGAAATAAAAATGAAAATAATTTTCTGCTCAGGGACTACTACAACATGTATTAAAGGGTCTCAGCATTAGGAAGGTTGAGAGCCACTGGTCTAGATCTATCTCAACAAGTTGACAATTGAGATTAACTATCACACCCCGATCCATAATTTCCTTGGGAGGATTCGAACAAACAGCTGTTTGTCCCAGATAGGATGCCATCTATAGACCAAAGAAACAACTCCACCCACACTAGCTTAGTGAACCAGTGGGTTTATTTAGGTTGTTCACAGTAATATAAGGGGTTACTAAGGAGAAACCCACCCCCAGCATGAGTGACAACCCAGGAAAACTTCATCCCAGGAGTTCCACCAACAGCTTGCAGGCTGTTGGCCCTCTGCAATAGATTGCTGCTTATGACCCTAGGGGGAAGGGGAGGCTTGTGAATCTGACCACTTTCAGCAGTTTCCTAGGTGCTATAAGTTTCCCTCATTTCCTGGGTCTTATGGACCTCCCTCTGGGAAGGAATATTTCAGTTAAGAGGAAATAGCTACGTAACATCCCTAAACAAACACTATAAGAAAACAGCAATTCGCCTGGCGATGGTGGCACACGGATCTCTGGGTTTGAGGCTACCCTGATCCACAGATCGAGTTCCAGGACAGGCTCCAAAGCTACACAGAAAAACTCTATCTCAAAAAACCAAAATAAAATAAAAACAATTTATACAGACTCTCCCCAGAAAAAAGGACAGCCCGACTTGGTTTGACCTGCTATTGGCATTTCTTTACATTGGTCATGAAGCGAAGCTCAGGACCAGACTACTTAGGCTTCTGAATAGAGTCTGAACTTTGGAAGGTTCCTGTGTGGCCTTCAGGGAACCAACCTGTTAACTGTGCTAGTTTCTAGCTGCTATCAGAAAACCCAGCTA